CTAGTCCAACCCCTCTGCACACGCAGGGTCACCTAGAGCACGTGGCACAGGACTGCGTCCAAGCGGGTTTGAAGATCTCCAGAGAAGGAGACTCCACAACCTCTCTGGGCAGCCTGTTCCAGGGCTCTGGCACCCTCACTGGGAAGAAATTTTTCCTTAAGTTCCTGTGGAACTTTTGGTGCTTCAGTTTGTGGCCGTTTCCTCTAGTTCTGTCGGTGGCCACCAGTGAAAAGAGGCCGGCCCCATCCTCCTCACTGCCTCCCTTGAGGTACTTCTAGACACTGCTCAGGTCCCCTCTCAGCCTTCTCTTCTCCAGCTGAACAGGCCCAGCTCCCTCAGCCTCTCCTCACAGGGCAGATGTTCCAGGCCCCTCATCATCCTTGTGGCCCTGCGCTGGACTCTCTCCAGCAGCTCCACGTATTTATTACACATCGCTCTGCTGTGCTGATTATATAGATGGCTCCAGGTGTAGGAAAACGAAGATAGTTTGTTGTTGTCACCATGGATCCATATTCTCTTCATATACATGAATTTGTCTCTCTATTCTCTGCACTGATTTTGGTATCCCTCCTTAATTTGATACGTTCTTTGATTAGAATCCGGCTTTTGATGGTAGTAGCTCAATGTACTCCTGGATTTTTGTTTGTGCTGTCTAGTGGGATAGGTTGTAGTTAAGTGAAATGCGTGGTGTAAGCAAAGGGAAATTGCTGTATGCAAGCCATAATTTTCATGTAGTTACTAGTTTGAGTGCTGTGATGAAAGGGATGTTTCTCAGCGTTTTTATCACATCAGCCGCTATCTTTCGTGTCCACCTGAGCACGGCAAAGGGCCCCCTTTCATCTGGAGGCTTGTGAGGCCATCATGGTAAGAGCAGCCCCAAATCGGGCTGCCGTCGTTGGGACTTTCATCTTCTGCTCTGGGTTTTGAAGCGTTATCTGTGGTTCTGCTGTTCCCTGGCTCTGTGAGTCCGTGTTTGGTGCAGGGGGACTCCTCTCCAGAGCTGTTCCTGTGGGTTCATATTCTCTTCGTAACCGATGTGGATTTGACCCTCTGTTCTTGCTCGGGAAAAGGTCACTACCCCTCGGTGGAGAAGGAGGGCTCCGGGAAACGCAGCCCGACCTGGTTGTGCTCCCGGTCGTGCAGGTCTGAGGCTGAGCGGTGCAGACCCGCGTCCCGTCCACGGCCACCTTCACCCCCACAGAAACTACCTGTCCCAGGACGGTGACAGACCCTGTCGTGCCTCCAAGCCCGGAACGGAGGCCCTCAGCAGAGAGAGGCGCACGAGGCCGGAGGACTCGCTCCGCCGGTGCCTCCACGGCCCCGTTCCCTTTCTCTCCGTGCTGGAGCGGGTGTGAAGGGGCAGCTTCCCACCCACACGCTGCAGCTCCTGGATGTGCAGGAAACCAGCTCGTCTTGGGTGAACTCGCATAAAGGAAGCCCGTGTTCTGTAGCTGACTCTTGTATTTGCCTTTAGTGATTACGGTATTTCTTTAATATTGAAATAAGATTCATATATAAAAAAGAACGCACAATAATATACCTCTGTAATAGTGATAGATCATCTTGGGATATATCACAATTTTTATTTACGTTGATTTTTGTGCTCACCTTTTCTGGTTTCCATTCCCCAGCTTTGCCCAGAATTGCAGTCCTTCACCTTTATGCCCTTCTTTTTGTCTTAGTATTTCGGCCTTTTCTCTCCTAGCGATAGGAATTGAGTCGTTGGTTGATTATTTTGTGAATGGTAGGGTTTGCCTTCAAGCAAAGCCCTAATCCAGCAAGGGTGGTACCTCAGAACAAATGATGGAGGAAGTTGCAATGTGGATTCCGAGTTTCCATTCTAGCACCTGGAATGAGCGGCCTCATCCTGCCCCTGCCTGCGGATCATTCTGATTGCTCCTCTTGTCCCATATGCAGCTCTCGCAGGAGAGCAGGGACAAGAACAGAGAATGAGATTTATTCACTTGCTTCTCCAAGAGCAAAGTCATCTTGTTAACTGCAGAGTTGCTCAGCAGGTCACTCAGCCACCTCTATCCCCGTGGTCATCCCGGCCGCTGTACTGGGAATGGGGATGCGCCAGCTCCCGTCGTGTCTGTCCTGATCCGGATCCATGCCACGCTGCCCAAGGGAGAGCCCCTGAGCTGCACTCCTGTGCTGCAGTTTTCTGCTAAATCCTGGGAAGTTCATCAAGGATGTTGCTGGATTAAGAGGGCTGATTTCCAATGGGTAGGATCCGACTCTGAGAGCAATGTACTTTGTGTCGAGTAATGAGGTTGCTCCCAATGTCTTTCTTCCAGGGTTTAACATCCAGGTGCTGGCGCCGCTCCCGTAAATCAGCCACCGGCGGAGGCGGCTGGGCCGCAGCTCCCGCCACAGCGCTGTCCCCCTTGTGTCTTGCAGCGTCCCCTTCGATTAAGCTCCTCGTGGACGACCCCATCGTGGTGAACCCCGGGGAAGCCATCACGCTGGTGTGCGTGACCACGGGAGGGGAGCCCGCGCCCAGCCTCACGTGGCTGAGGTCCCTCGGCGGCCTGCCCGACAAGACGGTGCTCAACGGCGGCACCCTCACCATCCCCGCCATCGCCTCGGACGACGCCGGCACCTACAGCTGCGTCGCCAACAACAACGTGGGCAACCCCGCCAAGAAGTCCACCAACATCATCGTGAGAGGTGAGCGGAGCGGCAGGGACTGCCTCCCTGCTCGTCAGGGCCGCCGTTCTGGTCACGTCGCGTAATCCTAGAGAGTAGTGGTTTCTGGACTGAAGTGAACCGTGGTTCTTGCACTGGGCTCCAAGCCCAGATTTGAACTGAAGGTGGTGAAATCTTAGAATCAGAATCATTATGGTTGGAAAAGACCTTCAAAATCATCGAATCCAGCCATAGGGATGCCCCTTTAGGCAGTGCACAGATAGCACTTCCCCTATTGCACCTAGAGCCAGCTGATGGCCCAAGGATGGAAACTGAAGCACCAAAAGTTCCCCAGGAACTTCAGGAAAAATTTCTTCCCAGTGAGGGTGCCAGAGCCCTGGAACAGGCTGCCCAGAGAGGTTGTGGAGTCTCCTTCTCTGGAGATCTTCAAACCCGCTTGGACGCAGCCCTGTGCCACGTGCTCTAGGTGACCCTGCGTGTGCAGGGGTTGGACTAGGTGACCTCGAGAGGTCCCTGCCAACCTTGAGCATTCTGTGATTCCATGACACCACATCTTTACCAGCATTTCCTGGGGGTGGGCAGACGTGGTGACCACGGGCACATGCTCCTGAGCTGGTTGCACCCTTGGTGCAGAGCAGCCTGGAAACTTCCTCATCCAAATGGCTCCTGAGCTCCCAGAGATACCACCACATGCGTCACCCTCCTCTTCCTCCTCATAGGCTTTAGGCGTTACTGAAACCAAGGCTGTTCTGCAGGCTGTGAATCCACTGCCACCAGCTCACTGCTCCCTGGGCAGGAGCTTTATATTAGTGCCTATGTTTTAATTATGCTAAATAGCAGGAGAAATATCTGTCTCAGGTAAGAGAAGGGTACTTAAAGAAGAATTACTGTCAGGTGGATGGAAAATCTCCCTGGTTGTTTATGGCCTTCTGGGTAACCACAGGGACATGGCCTGTTGGTTTGAAGGAAGAGCTCAATTGGCTGGTGAGCATCATCAGAGTGGATTAATCTACCTGAACCAAACAGTTCATCTGAAACTAATTTTCTATAATCTAATCCTTGAACGGTACTGAAACATAAACTCCCACGCCATAGGAACTTTAAATAATAACATGTGATTAATCATGCTCGGGAGAAGCTGCAGTGTAAGAAGCCGGTGGTGTGAATATTTTATGAGAGCCATAACCCCTGCTCACTCGTTATGGCCCAACATATTACACTCTTCAGCAGGGCGGTGAGTTACAGTCTATTTCTGTTCGGGGGTCAGCGAGGGAGCGTTGCATCAGCCCAGGTCTGCAGGAGCTTATCGGGAGACGGCCACAGATTTATTTGTAGTAGTGTATTTCCATTTGAATTTCTGATACTCGGCTTACGGGTTTTGTTGTCAGGAGGCAAAAGCGGTGTTATTCCAAGCAGGCAGCACGGACGTTAATTTGCTGTGATTTACAGCAGTGATGCGGTGGTGAAGGGAGGACGCGAGTGAAATGCATGCTCGGAATAACAGAGGGAAGGAAAGGCTTTGTGAAAAGAAATCTCCGTGTTTTAACGGACCCAGCAGACAGCACCGGGGAGCCCAGAGGAAACGCAAAAGTCCCTAACTCCGCGCAGATACAAATTTCATGAGTCATAGTATAATAATAATAAGCCCTCCCTTTTTTATTTATAGAAGCCCATGCCTAGGAGCTGCAAGATGCTGAACAAAATATCGTTAAAGCATTTGATGAGGGTTTTTTCCTCTCCCTGCTGTGTGGCCCTGTTAATTCTTAGGAGAAGGGACCACAAGGAGGAGCACCTCATCAAATAGATGAAGCCTGGCCCTCTTCTAAGCCCAATATGTTCTATCTGTTATGATTTTTCCTCTTCATTATTATTCCCATTAAAGGAGCAAAAGTGTTTTATGAAAATACATACTATTTTATTGTGGCCTTGCTTGATTTAGCTTTGCTAAAAATATTGTTGAGTTTAGCACCAGTGGAATATATGAGAGAGAAATTCATGCCCCAGCTTTGGTTTTCCTTTGCTTCCTGCCCTTTGCCTGTAGCTCACTGCGTCCCCATGTTTCCTCTCTCTTGGTGTGGCTGTTGATCCAGGTCACACGCGGGTGCTAACGTAGAAGTTAAAGCAGAACCCGGCCGTGCTGGCTCTGCTGCTCCTGGGTGTCACTTCTTTGCGTTGCGAGCAGCGGCGTCGCCTCCTCCTGTTCCCGTCCTGCCCCGTTCCCTTGCGGCAGCCGGACAGCGTTAGTGAGAGTTTTGCTGAGAAGATGCAGAGAAGTTGTTGGAGGTTCTGCAGTGCCGTTCCCTGCGAGGCGCCCACGTGCTGCAGCCTTGGTTTGCTCCCTGTGCTCCAACAAGAGCTCAGCAGGGCAAAGAAGTGCCCCGTGGGCTGGTGCTTTGCCACTGCAAAAAGGCCGTGTGCTGTTTGCCCAGCAAAACCTCTGCTTAGCAGCAAGGCTGGTGAAATGCAGCCGCTTTTAAGAATGCCATTATCGGCTTAACGCTACCCAAAGTTATTGCAGAATGTTTTAATCCATCAAATACATTGCCTTCTGTAAAGGTGTCTGGGTTAAAAAGAGAAAAAAAAAAGATATACAGATATACTCTCTAATTTCAGCAGAGCTGGCTGCTCACCAGTTCTAATTATGACAGTTTCTCTCTAAGTATTTTCTTTAGATTAATGAGTTCTTTAAATGATTGTGAGCCTGCTAGGGTTGGGATATTAGTGGGTGTTCTCATCAGTAGCATCTTCACTTCCTGCTCTCAAACCGAGTATTAAAACCGCTTCCTCTAACTTATTTCTAGAAAAAAAAACCCTTACAAGGCAGAGGAGCTCTAAGGGGTCTAGACTCCTCTCATTAGAGTAAGGCTTTCACTTTCCTGCTTGGCTTAAAAAACAATCTCTCACGTAACAAATTCCCTGTCACTAGGAGGAGACTGAGCTCCCACCTCTCTGCGTGCCCGAGATCTGCATTTTCACAGCGCCTGGCTGGAGTTCTGCTCTGCTGGCCATTCCCTGGTAGTATTTCAAACACAGCATTTCAAACACAGACGTGACCAGCAGTGGACAGTTTTCCTACAGACAGGGGTGTGGGAAACCTGGTGCATTCGGATCCTCCTGCCAGAGAGGACTCCCTTCCTCCAAACACTGCTGTTAAATCTCTGTCACCATTAATCTGTTGATGGGTGCTGCTGCTAGCCAAGCTTAGAGGTAATGGTGAACAGTCTCCTAGTGATTTTTTTGAACTAAAATAACACGTCAACGATCAAAACCAAAACAAACAAAAACCAGAAGAACCTGCTTTGTGTTAAAATCAAGTGCAAACCCACCCTGTATCTCTCACGCACACAATAGTGCAGATACTTCTTGACTATACCCCAAGGCCACCATGCGGTTCTGCAGAAAGGTTCTGTGAAGTTATGCTACAACACGAAAGAGCAAATATTGCAAAGACGGGGTCAGGAGAAAAATTAAAGAATGTCATCATTGGTAGCAGTGTGCTTTGGGAGAATTAAAGGTGTTTGATGGGGATGGATGTCAAAGCAAAAATGCTGGGTAGCATCTTCAAGGGACACCTGTGCATTGGCTTGGGAAGAAAAGGAGAGTCAGGAAAACGTTTTCCAGGTGTCAAAATGTGGAGCACTGGTGTCATTGGGAAGTGGGAGACCCTGCACCAGAACAGGTTTCTCCCTCGTCAGCAGGGACACCGCTGCCTTCCTCCAGTGTCTTCACTGTGACTGCTAATTCTTTCTTAGTGGCAACCGACTCTTGCTGTGTGACTTCTGCGGAGCAGAATCATCCTGCCTGGAGTTCATTTTTCCAAGGGGTGGGACTCCTTGTCACTTCAAATATAAAGTAATATTTTTAAATGTCCTGCACTCCACGTTAGCACAAAAGCTTTTGCTGAACAAAAAACACTCTGGAGAAATGTGGCAGAAAGGCTGAGATTGCTGGAATTACTTATCCCATTATGTCTTTAAAAACTGTGTGTGAACTAGGTAGCAGTGACTGCTAAAAAGAAGGTGAGGAAGAAAAATGACCGAGATTGTGAGATAAATGATATTTTTTGTTGCCTTTGTGATAGATGTAAAGCAAACCCTCTCCTTTGCCCATCGAAGAGAGCTTTGCCGTGGGGTCCGTTTGGTTCCTGGGCTGGGAGATGTGTCCCTATGGTGGAGGCTTCATCTACGCGGCCTCGTCTTACGGCACATGCAGTGTGCTCCCGTCATAAGCTACCAGAGCACTACCCTAAAAGTTTACAGCTCCGAGAATGAACCCGTAAAAAAGTTGAGCCTTAGAGTTTAAAAAAATCCATTTATTTTTATTATCGGGAATGGCAGTTCCGGGCAGGTGTGTTCTCTCGGGCTGTGGTGTGTGGCAGATGAGTTCATAAAGCGGCTCCACATAAAAAGGTAGATGGTTTATCGATTCTCCTGCCCTGTCATCAGGGCTTCCTGGAGCCTTTGTGCGCGGAAATTTTATTCTTAAATAAGTTTGCTGCTCTCCCGCATCCTGTAGCATGTCAGGCACCATATTTGTATGGAGACACAGGGAAAACGGTGTCAGGAGATGACATTCCCGGCCCTGGCAGCGTGACAGCGGCTCTGCAGCAGCGGGAACAGGGAAATAAGAAGTTATCCTCACCGTGGCTTGCCACTAATATATGGCAAAATTTGGGCCCTGGCCTAGTGTGCTGGTGTGATATTGCAGCAAATCTTGGTAATTAATACCTCGTGAGGACGGTGTTGTCTTAACAACAGTTGTGTTTGCTTTTGGCAGGCAGAATTGGGACTTCCAAAATTTCATTTCCTGCCCAATGTTTTGCTTTAATGCTGTGTTTTAGGGTGTTGATTTGTATTGCATCAGGCAAGTGTGAGTGAGATTGGTTGGTCTGTGCCCACCGTGATGCATAATTTTGGAAAGTTTTATAAGATCTTGATGCATTTTTGAGGCACTGAACTGTGAAGTAAAAGCAGTTGGTGGAAGGGAAATGTACCCAGTGTTGGAACAAATCCAGCCTCTAA